CAGGGCAGCCTCCCTTTTCAGTACCAGCACCGCAGCCCCTCCATCTCCCACGGCCCCGCAGGAGAAACTTTCCCCGCACAGCCCGCTCTCCCCGCGGCTCGCAGGGGCTGAGCTGCCTCCAGCCCGGCGGTTCCCGAGCCCGCCGAGGGTACAGCAGCCCGGGGAGGGGTGCTCGGAGCGGGCTACCCCCGCTGCCCCCCGGCCCCTCCGCTCCCGCGGCGCCTCCCCCGGGCCCCGCCGAGCTCCGTGCCGCAGGTGACCCCCCGGGGGAGGGCAGGGGCCGGGAGCGGCCGGGGGAGGGGGCGAGGGGCGGGGAGGCCGGGCTCGGGGGGTCGCTGTCAGCGGCGCCGCTCGGGGCACGGCTCGGCGCGGCGGCTCCGCTGGCTGTGCGCGGCGCGGCTCGGCTCGGCACGGCTCGGCACGGCTCGGCACGGCGCGCCATGCTCCGCAGCGGCCCCGGCGCGGGGCTCGTCCTGGCGGCGGCCGCGGCGCTCTGCCTCGGCGGGGCGGGAGCCAAGGTAACCCCGGCACCGGCGGCACCGGCCCCCGCCCGCACCGGGCAGGGCAGCGCGGCGGCGGCGAGCCCGACGGGGAGGGGGAGCCCCGGGAGCCCCGCCGGGAGGAGGGGAGGGACCGGGAGAGCCGGGGCAAGGGGAAGCAGAGCTGCCGGCAGCCCGGATGAGGGGTGCGCCGGTGCTCCCGGGACGAGGGATGCGCCGCGGACACCGGGAGGAGGGATGCAGCGGGCGGCCGCGGCGGGCGCGGCTGCGGGTCCCTTCGGCCCCTGTCTCTCGGTGTTGGGGTGTAGGACTGGTCGGGGAGTCGCTCGGAGTGCGAAAGGCACCGCGAGCCGTGATGCTCCGGGGCTCCGAATCAACCCCAACCGCTTCGGTACAGCCGGACCCGAAATCCGGTGAAAGCCCGATGACTACGGATTCCCAGCAGAAATGAGAACCCTCGCCCAAAGGCATCCCTGCCACGGGCACAGCCTGGCTTGGGGGGTCCAAACCAAATACCTCGTGCTGTTTTACAGCCCGCACCTCGGCTGTAGCAGGGAGAGCAGGTAAACTCTGCAAGTGACAGGTACAGCTCCCAGGGCAGGGATCCGGGCAGAGCTGAGAGCCAGTGGGGACGGGGAGCTGAGAGAGACCGAGCACGGGAGGCACCCGAGCTGCGGTGGAAAGGCAGAGGAGGAAACACGGAGCACCCCACAACCGGGAGCAGCTGCAGAGCAGTCGCTCTGAGCTTTGGGAAGGATGAGCAGTCCTGGTCCCGCTGGAGAGAGTGGGACTTTTCCTATGGACCCTGGTAGAACCACGGTTTGACACTTCCAGTAGAGATTCTCAATTCTATAAAACATGAGCCACTGGAGTATAAGAAAATATAATTTCATACATTTATGTCTTGTTACATATATATATATATAAAGGAAAAAAAAAAAAGGTGTGGGGTTGCCTTCTCTGGTGGCAAGTAGCATTATAATTCTGCCTGATAAAGTAATTCCCTGCCACAGCAATGACTGGTTGAAATGGAGATGTTTTATCTCTCTTTGGTATCCTAGTGAAGATAGCTACAGTGACAACTTAATTAAGCCACATTTCTGGCCCTGAAATAATAACTTTTACCAAGATCTATTCAACTGTATGGTTGCAGGGCTTTGTATTTTGTTCCTCTTCCAAGTCAGGATTGCAATGCAGAATGTAAGCTTACCTTCATGCAGTTGCATACCTCTCTTATTAAACTACATAACTTGCTTGCTTCCCTGAATTATTGCATCCTTCCTGTGCTGCTTCTCTTCTGCCTTTGCCTGTACAGTTATGAGGAGCAAGTACTGGTTGTGTGCTGTGCATTTGGGGGTGAAAGGCAATGGTGGGACTCTGAATGATCAGCAAACTCTCTCATTTTTTCTAATTTTTCTCTAATGTTCCCTAGTCAACTTCAATTGTTCTCTGATTCTGAAATCAGGAGTGTTTGACTTCATACCAGGCAGTAACTGAACTAAAGTATTGACCAACAGCACTATAGAAAAGAAACTGCCTTTTTAATGAAGAAGCAGCAGTCTCCTGCCTGCTTTCCCCGACCTGACTTCTTGCTGTGTCAATTATTCTTTTGATCACATTGTTTATAGGCTCTTAACATACTGGACAATTTCTTTTGCAGAATGAAAAGCATTTTCTATTGCTTATCTTCCTCAATGTGACAAGGAGTTCTGTGTCCAAACAGACGTGTGTGTACACCTCTTGCTCCCTGTTTTTATTATTTCTTGGAGTAAGTTGCACTTGCTCTTCACTCATCAAGGACTGCACTGTGCTGTGTAGGCGTCACTATTTTTATCTTTTTGGCTGCACTGATAGTGTTGCTATGCTAGTAAAGAAATATACATCCCACTCTAAGTTAGTCATTCAAATGTAGTTCAATTTATCAGTTGAAAAAAGATATTCAACGATTCATGAGAAATTTTTTGTCTTCTGGCTTAGAGTTAACAATGTAAAAACATAACAGAAATTCCCTTGGCAAGGACAAAGTCTGCATGAGGTACAGGGAACTGAATTGGTCTTTTCATCCAGGAAGGTGGTCTCTGCCAGTAAGAGCTGAGAAAATCTGTGATGCTGTGAGGTAGCGTGGATGTTTGCAACATGTTTTGTGGCAAAGTATAGCTCTCTCTGGAATCCTTCACCAAGTACTACAGCAATTTAAAAGTAGAAGTAAGATCAAATGAAAGAAAATGTGAAGATAAGGTGCATGATGTTTCCTCCTGCGTGTCTGTATCAAATGGAACAAGATGTGCAGATAAGCATCTTGTTTATCCTGAAGGAAGAATGTAAGCCTGATGAAAGAGTAACACAGTCAAAATTATGTCTCTGTATGTCCATTAAATATTATCTGTTTAATCAAATCCCTATGGAGGAGTTCTCTATGCCAGTGCCATCTTCATCTGGTATTCTTCTGTTCACTTGCTAGCTTAAAGAAAAAAATCAAGCCTTTCTTGTTCTGCTTAAGCGAAGAAATCTTAGCAATCCTACATCCTCTAGTGAAAGTTTAGTCCTTTACCCAGCAAGAACTATGATAAAATTCCTGCTGGTTTCAGAAAGAGCAGGATCCTTCCCAAGATCAGTGAAAGATTAAAAAAAAAATCAAGTACTAAAATATGCACCTCAATTAGCAAAGAATGTGGCCTGATTAGTAAAGTGTATGAAATTTCAGCTATTAAATTCTACAGCCCTGATCAACAAAGCACACTGCACAGTTGGCAATGTATCCAGAATCTCAACTACTGTACTAGTCTCCTACCAGATCAACCAAGCATGCAGCTGAATCAGTAAATTATGCAACTGGAGCAGCAAAATATGCACTTCTGATTGGGTCAGAAGGATAGGGAAGGTCTCAAATACTTTAAATTGGCACACAATAGGTCTGTCAGTGGTCAGCATCTGCCTTGAGAAAAGTAGGGGCAAAATATGTAACTTTTACTAAGTCTTTCTGGACCCTTGGTGGACTGGAAAATATGTCCCTCAAATAGCTCAGTGTTTCTTAGCAGCAGTCCCATACTTTACCAGATGTACTGCACATCTGGTTCCAATCCCAGCAGCTGCCAGGTGTGGGGGTTATTTTAGTAACACTTTAATGGGATTTTTAGGTCCAGGTAGCTTTTGCTTTATTCCTCACTGTAAAGCACTGGGTATACACACTAGGCTGTATTTCTGTCTCAGGAGATGAAGCCATTCAAGACAAATAAGGCACCTTCAAAGAACCTGAAAGTTTTGTTGGCAGTAGACTTAATATCTATTAATCTCTTCACTATTTGTGAAAGTACTTTGTGCTTGGGGAGCAGAGAAATGATAGGTCTTTCCTGTTTTCTTTGTATCTTGATTAATTGCCATAACTGCATCCTTTTGTGTTTACAGTGTATCTTGGCAGATCAGATGTTTACTGTGCAGAGAGTTTGGATGTTTGGCCAGTTTGGGGAGCAGCTACCTTCATATATTCTGAAGCAGTAGAGCTGTTTTGCCCTAGCCTCTGTGTATGTGCTTTAAAAATCCAGTCACGGTGGCTGGTTCTGAACTTCAGAAGCTGTTTTTCCTTTAAATTATTACGTTTTCTTTATACATAAGACCTGCAGATTGTCCCATTTTACTAAAGATGCTGTTTCAGGGTTTCTATAAACCACTTTTTTTTTTTTTCCTTTTTTTTTAATGCCTGGATGTAAATGGTGTTAAACTGCCTGGGCTCAAGCAAGGCATGAGAATTGCTTTGTTTTACTGCACTGTTCACTTCAACACCCAGGAGGCTGAAACATTATTTGAGTCTAAACATTATCTGGACTTGGGGTTTTTTGTTGCTTTGGTTCAGTTTTTTCTGGATTTTTTTTTGTTGTTGTTGTTTTGTTGTTTTTTTTTAATCCACTAAATTTTGTTCATAAAGCTGGCTTGCATTGGACTTCTTATCTACCAAATTTCTGCCTCATTTCCAAGTCAGTTCAATGAATGATCCTATTTAGTTCTTTTTCCTGTTTAAAATATTTCCTACTGAGTCCAGAGCAGTGCCCTTAAAACATAATTGATTTGGGTCATTGAACCCTTATTTTTCATGCATGTTAGTTTACATCCTGCCACTGGTCTGACTGGTATTTAAATTAGAAAATTGCAGGCGGATTTCTTCTAGAGGCTAAAGTTCACGTGGAGTCTCTGGCAAAATAAGATCCTGGAGTACATATCCCTGGAACTGGGCAATGATTTGTAGCTCTTTTTTAATTCTGTCTGGCCAGAGTGTTATAAATCTGGCGCTCGCTTGTTAGCTTCACGCTAAGCAGCAATAATGTCCACAGTGTTTTAGTCCTGATAATTCTAATTATGGAAGCACTGAAGAAGCTGAAAGCTGAGAAGATGGACAAGGCTGGCCTCAAGTCCTGCACAGCACAGGGGATTCTCTCTTTGTAGAGCTGAACCATGATTCTGTCTTTCACCAAGGCCAGCAATGGAAGCAGCAGCCGAGGTAAGAGAAACAAGCCAGAGACAGAAGATTTCTGGAATTATGTGGGTAATCTTTGTGCAGAAGGAGCTAAAAGACTGTTGTGCTGGTAGAGATACCAAACATCCTTGGGGTGAAAATGCTGAAATAATTTTTTTCCCTTACTATCTAAGAGGTTAGAGCAAACAATCCTGTTGCACTGGTTTGCAAAGACCCAGCAAACAACCTTTCCTGTGGTAACCAATAATTGCTATTCTCTCCTCTGCTTTTTTGTGTGACAGATCAGGAATGGTGGTAAAATATTCAGGTCTCTTTCTTCCTGCCTCTCTTTCTTCATAAAAAATAAAGGAACTCATGGCATATTTTGTACCAGAGAGTGACTACTCAGCAGTAGTGTAGCTAGACCAGGTCTGGTAAAGCAGTTCTTGCCCTTACACACTGTTCTTTGTATGCACTGATATCCCAGATCTATAAATGATAAATATTCAGTGTGGTGTTTATATACTTGCTTTATGGGAAGTACTACATAGGAAAGTCATCCTCTTGTACAAATTCATGGCAGGAGATGGGTGGAGTAGGGACAGGGCACTGTAGGGGCTGGAATAAATATGTGTAACAATTTTACAGCAGCAGGGAGAAGCCTGACTGTCAGACTTGGTTTTCAAACTCAGTGTAAGAACACTATCATTCCTCTTACAAGCTCTCAGCAGCAAATGGCCCCACAGTTCATTTTGGATATCCTTATTCGCATCACTGCCAATGGAAAGGAGATTCCAATTTTGAGAGGAGCAAAGGCTAATTTGCCTGTATTTCCTTTCTAGAGCTCTTGGAGCCCTACTGGAGCTCACAGAAGTCATCTGAGACTTCAGGAGGATTTAAATCAGGCCATAAGTACTGCTGACTTGGATTAGTAATGATGTGCATTGAGGACAACATCTGTATTTGGGTTTGGGTGGAGCTCTTTCATGGTAGAAGAGTTGGTAATACTTTTACAGTACCTTTCATCAGAGCATTTCAGAGTTTCACAAATATCTAATTACAGAAACTATTAAACTATGTGAAATCCTTGGTCCTGGGGGAGTACAGGCAGTACCATTATGCCTCAACAGAAAGCAGAGATGGGTGGTGTTCAAAGTGGCAAAACGAAAGCAATTTTTCACATGCAAGCCATAACCTGTTACACTATCTCATTTTCATCCTATGTTTTACTCCTCCCATTTCTTTAAATTGGCAGCCAGGTTTCAACACCAAATGAGCTAAACAAAATGGGCTGCCACGAACCTCCAGTGGGAACTACTGTCAGCCCTCAGGAAGGGATTTCCGAAGTTCATGCATCTCTTACTGATCTGTTTTCATAGTATTTGTATTTCTTTACTCTGTTAAGGTGTAGCAGGACTTAGCTAGGGTCAAGTGCCAAGGAAGCCAACAGTGACAGCTTCCTGGGGACAGGAGCTCTGGGCTGACATGCCTCTGAAAGTCCAGCCCAATCCAAATCCCAGCAAGCTGGTCACTCAGCCTTTGCAAGGACTGTGTGCCTGCTCTGTACTGTGCTTCATCTGGGTTTAGCAGTGGGGGATCTAATTGATTTATTCTACTTAAGTCCATCTCTCTCCTGATCTTGGTTAGTAAATATTCCACTGTTTAGAGACTGAGTTTTTATTAAAGGGATTTTTTGACTGAAAATGTGAAGCTTTTACTGGTAGCACCGAGGCTCAAAGCCTGGGCTGCCCATGCCCTTGACTTCCTTCTGTGTTCCAGATCTGCATGGGTGGGCACTTCAGGTAAATCTGAGCCTTCACTATTTGAATACAAGGGCCCCAAGGAGTTGCTCATCAAGACTGACTTTAAATGCAAGCTTAGCAGGCTGAACACTTTGATTTGCCTCTAAAATCAACAGTAACTTATTCCAGGTTTCCTGGTTGAAACTTGAATGGGGAAGAAGAAAGGATGTCTGCAAAGCAGATTTATTTAGGAAAACAAACTGCTCACTGGTTGGGACCCTGTAACAACAAACCCAGGCTTAGATTTTCCTCTGTCTGCAGTATCTGTGATACTTTTTTCAGCTTTCTCCCAACCCTCCCTGCTGTGCCCTCATGGTCTCTCCTTATGTGTAAGCAATAAAGTAAAATTTACAAGCATCCTGCTCTCTGAAATCCTGGCAAAGACAGAGTCCTGGAAATTTCCCTTTCCCCAGTGCACAAGAGGAGACTGATCCTGGGAGAACAAGGTGGGGAGAAGTGCTGCTGTTTGTTTACCATCCAAAACTAAGGATGAGCACTCGGACAGCAGCAGACCCCTGGATGCTCCAGCTGCAGCAATGGCTCATGTGGAAGCCCAGCTAAAAAGATTGCATCAAAGTGAGAGGGTTTTTCTTTGCTTGCATTTGAAAGATCATTACTCATGTCTTCTGCATAAGCCCTCCCACCTGCTAGTGACATTTAGTGACACAACAACCTGGTTCCCAAAAGGCTGGGATAACAGCTCTGCAGCAGGGTAACGGTGACTCACAATATTTGCAGGTTTGGCATTCACATATGGAATGTTTTCTTCTCCATATGTTTGTACAATAGGCTTCCAGCATGTGAAACATCTGAAGTGTCTGAATGAAATAATAGGGTCACGTAGCTGGAAGTCCAAGCACAAACAGCTCTTCTTTTGCCAGGCCAGTTTACACCTATATGTGTGTGTTTTGTTTGCTTTTAAAAATACAAGTTTATTCCCAGGAAGTGGCCAGCAAATTTTGCATGGGATTGCCTTTCAATTCTCCTTTCTCCTGTTTCTTGTCCTTTCAAAACGAAACAAAGCTTTTGGGAACGTATAGTGCTTGTGGATTTCATTATTTAAATCTACCCCATGTGTTTGGGAGGTGATGTATATAAAGTTAGTTTGGGAACATTAGTTTTACAGATTCCTATGAATATACATAACTTGTTTAATGGTGTTCAATTTTTATACTGAACTCCACAAGTAAACTTTTACTGCAGGACTGTAGCTTTTGTTTTGTTATATATTCTGTCTTTTTACCAAGCAGTAGAAAACAATCTGACCATGCTTTCTACTCTTTAATTGGAGCTACTTTAAATTGGTCAATTTAAAGAAAATGAAAACCAGATTGATCTTCTGGAAATTGCCTCATCACCCATGTCAGTTCCCACCAACACTATCATTTACTATTAATTTTTCTATGATATGTTGTGTACACTTTGTTAATGAGAACTTGCTCCAGTAGAGAATAGACCTATGTGACCTATTAAAGCCCTGAAGCAAATGGCCATGGCATCTTGAACTCTTCATTACACTGCCTTACTTTTATTTACCATGGTCCCATCATATTCAGGATTATTTGCCTGAGGAGACACTCTAAATGATGCCTTTGTTTCTCTTTCTAAGGCTTTACATTTTTTTTTTGTATATTTGAATGAGGGTATTTTCTGAAAAAGGAACCCAACAAACTAGAACAGGGATAGCAGCTTTGTGTAGATGAAGGATTTTATTTGATAGGGCATCTTGCATCCTTGTTAGAGAATCTCTATTTGTTTGCTGAGTGTCCAGTCACAAGAGTTAGCTTTGTTTTCCCCCCCCTGCAAGGATTAATCTGAAAGGTCCACAAGAAAAGGCTGGGAATTCCAGCACTCCCTGGTGGATGTTATGTTAGATACTTTGCATGTTTCCTTGGGCATAAAAGCTGGTGTTGTGATGAAAGGGGAAAGCCAATGTTCAGACTGCTCTCCTAGGGGCATGGATCACATTTGTTGCATGAGCATAGCACAATATATTTATGAGACAGTTATGAGAGGTTTCTGCTTAAAATAGGTCTGTTTTATGGGTATAATGGTTACAGTCCCCAAAGGAACACTGCCTAGTCAAGTGGGTCTTTCCAAGCACTGGATTTGCATATTTTAAATAGATTTTTCAAATCATTTGATAGAAAAACAATCTGGCTTTTGTCCTTTCAGATTGAAATGAGAAGAAGGAAATTAATATTGTAATGTGGGACTGCAGTCAAGACAGAGAAAAGTTCAGAATAAAACCTGGCACTTAGTTTCTAATAAAAGCACCTGGATGTAAATGAAATTAAAGGAAAAATGTCCTGTGCCTTGGCCTAGGTCTCTTCCAGAGCATTTCTTCTGTATTTCACACTCTACCAACATTTTATCCACTTCATAAGTGTGTCTGAACCTTAACATGCATCAACTATTGAGTAATCAGTGAATGCTAGGATAACTCCTATAATGATAACTTCAATCTGGAAATCTGACAGGTAGCAAATGTACCCATGAGCTGCCAAGCCCAGAGGAAACTATTCATCATAAGCATTTCTAGCTCTAAAAATATAGATCATAGCTGTAACTTGTAAGGGATCTTGTAGGTGAATCCAACTCCTTCCTAATTACAGAGTTGAAAGGGGAGAACTAAAACTTCTGCCTATTTGTGATGTGGTGAAAAAGAACAAGGATTCTTTTCAGTGTTCTGAGACTTCACCTCTGAACCCTTATGTAGCTGAGCTAGCAATGAGCCTCCTGCAGTCCCACCTTTGCTGAGAGGGGACATATTCTTCCAGAGGGCTGTTAAGACCACCTCTAACTATTGCTCTGCATCTCCCTCTCCCAGAGTTGTAGGAAACAACTCTGGCTTCTGCCTGCCGAAGGAAATTAGCTAAATTAGCCAGCATTTATTGCACCCAGAGCTGTGTGTTCTTCATCTTATGTAGGAATCCTGCATCAGGTACCCAAAAAGGTCTGTGGCTGCTGCAGAAAAATCTGCCCACTGCTCATAACTACGGTGTAGGTTGGCATCTCTGGCCTAATGGGGGTGAACTGGTTTTCCTTCTCCCAAAAGCAGCAGAGCATTCTGCTGCCTTTCCCCTGCATGCTCTGAAGGCAAGAACGAAATGTCAATGTATGCTCAGAGTGCATATACTGCTGATCATGCTATGGAAAGCTGGGCTGTTCCATGGGTGATTGTTCAGAAAACAGCCCCTGCTTGTGTCCCTGGGAACAAGCATTTTTTTGTTGTTTGGGAACAAGCATCTCTGGAGTTAAATGAGGAGGGCTGTTGTTCTCCACAGAGGCTGGAGTGTCGCTGTGCCTGGTGGTTGTCGAGTGCCCGTGTTTGTTTTTTTGTGATTTTCCTTTTCCCCACCTCCTGTTCTGAGGATCAAGGAGGAGGGATGGTGACCTCATGGTGCAGTTATGCAATCTGCCAGAGCCAGGTATCAAAACACACTGCAGCTGTGGGACCTCGCTGTGGCTGGGGGCCCTGGCCTCCTGGCTCTAATGAGATCACTGACCTTCTCCTGCCACTTCTTCTGCAGCTGCTTGGATTCCCAGGGATTTGTTGTGGCCATGCCTGCCTAACGGTTTGGAAAGCTGCTGCAGGGAATGCTGCATCCACAGGCAGGCTCTGGAGCTGGCCCTGGAGACCTACAGCAGGTGAGGGTACCCTGGGCCCTGCCAGCCTCTTTCCATCCCAGCAGAACTTACTTGCCTCCATCCAAGGGCATGAAAACATTCCCTCCCCCCTGACTATTCTTATTTTCGTAGGAAGTGAGGAGAAGGTTGCCTGTTCTCCAGTGAAATAAAGCAGTGCCTTCCCAGCAATCTTCTTGTGATGCTTGAACTGCAGCAGAAACACATATGGGAAGAATAAGAGAGAATACCATGTCTGCAGTCTGAGGCATATTTGGGCCTCCAAGTCCTCGAGACTCATTCAGACTTTGCATTTTTTGCTCTAGGTGCTGAACTGCATTCCTGCTTCCCTTCCCTACTCTTCTAGCAGTATTTTGTTTTCCTTGCCTCCTTCAGTAAGAGGCTTTCACAGCCTCCTTCTCTTCCTACCTGCATATTTGTTCTCTTCAAATGTCCTGCAAATTATTAAAAACAATAGAAAACTCTGAGATAAACATGAAAACAGGGCCTTGTGAAGCTGTCTGATGTGGGCCAAGAAAGAATACAAGACAAGTCCATTTCCTGAAAATGGGATTTGCAGAGTGGAAATGTCACATCCATAATCACTTTCATGTGGTGGAACTGCTGCTGCCCACCACTAAAATAACAGAGCATCTGTTAAAAAATGTGGGTTTGGTTTTGCTTAAATCCAGCAGGTTGCACTCATTTCAAGACGTATTAAGTCCTCATTTAAAAACATGAGTGCAAGTGCTTTGGTACCATAAATGTATTAAAAGCAAATGTATGCTCAGCCCAGCTTGAGTCCCACACTGAACCCCGTTCAGAGCTCGTTTGTGTGAATGGCTCAGTGAGCAAGGAGAACATACATGTGTGCAGAAGGTGGGTTTGTGTTGGAACAGAGATACTGGGAGGGCAAGGGAGACCCCTCAGCAAGCAGGGGACTCTCATAATTGATGGGAACTCTTTTGGAGACCAAGCTGAGGAATAATTACAAATAAAGACTGAAAAAAAGGAGATGGAAACTAATAACTAAGCAAAGTGTTTTGCTCTGTCTGATCTGCTTGTGCTAACTCTGCTACTTTCAATCATCCAGAGACACTTGAAGATTTGCCCTAATGTGGGATGAGAGGGTCTCCTTTGCTGCTGCCTCATGCTTCAAGCAGGAAAAGCAATTTGGCAGAGAGGGAAGTGGCAATTCCAAGGCATTTCTAGGAACTCTTGTACTGCCAGGTGGAAAAAATAGGTTAGATGTGCTACAGCTGTATCTTGTTCATTCTAATGGAAGAAAATAAACCTTGCATGCAATGATGAGCTGAAAATGCAAAATTAAATACAGCACTAATTTTCTGAAGTCTCTGATTAACTTTGTCCTGTGCTTGGAAGAAGTCCTACCAGCTTTGATCTCTAGATCAGTCAGCTAGTGAAGGAAATGTGGTCACTTCTTAAACCAACAGACTGGAGTTTTCTATCTCGCTCTTGGGATAGTCTTTCCTCAGATCCTGTATTTGATGAGCATCCAAAAAGCTCAGACTTCCCTAGCTTGGAAATACTGTGAAAGGAAAACTTGGGGCTTTTGCTGGGAACCACAAGAATGGTATTTATGGTAGCTTTGCAGGGAGTTCCAGCTATGTCAGCAAGTAAAGGCTTGTCTTTATTTTGTTTTTCCTTGTAAGCTGGGATTGTGGAATGACATTTTTCCCTTTTTCCTTCTCATTTTCTTTTTAAAACCCCAAGTTTAGCATTTTCTCTCTGCTCTGGCTGAATGTTTGGACCACTTCATATTTCATCCCAGGTGGCTGGCTCTGTTCAAATGTCCTCAGGAGCCCGAGTGATCTTTAACTTGGAATGAACTTCCTATGTTTGGAGGGGAGAAGGGGGAAGTAGCTGGCATGCCATACCTCTCCCTCTGTATTTTGAGCAAAGATGTTGGTGTAGCCAGAGTTTTAAAGAGGTCCCTTGGGCAGGATAAATGTGAAGGAGCTGGTGAAGGAGCCTTGAAGCATTTCCAGCTCTTTGAAAGAAACACACGTGTGTGTGCATGTGTGCACATAAGATGTTTTTAATTTTGGAGGGGTGAGTGATCCCAAATAAAGATTGCTGGATTTTCATCCCACTGATGCTATGTTGAGCTCAGATGGCTAAATTTAATCATGCAGGCTGAACAATCTTGCATTCTAAGACTGCATCCATCTCTGTGCAGAAACTGTTTCCTTACCCCTGTGGCTTCTGTGGAATCAGCTGTAGCCTGACCAGATAAGGCCACTGTGAGATGCCCATACACTGACTGTTCTGGCACGAGGCAGCTGCAGTGGATTTTGATTTTTAAATTAAGCAAAAAAATCTACCTGTAGAGGAGTTCTTTCTTTTCTTTAAAGTTCTTTCTTTTCTTTAAAGTTCTTTAAACACTCTTAGAAGTGTTTAAGTAGTGGGGCTATTTTGCAGGAATTTACCAGCACAATGTCACAGCATCCTCCACGTTCCCTCTGGGTTCCCAGCATCACCTCAGGCCATCAGCACTTCTCTCCTGGAGGCAAGACAGAGAAGCTTGAGAAACCAAGCCATGCCTGCTCCCTGTGGTTCAGGCAGAGGCTGGTACCCATCACTGAAGAGGCTGTGGGCCAGCTAGAGGCTGCCACAACCTGCCATTCATGGCTTTTCCAAGACCCCTGCAGGTTTTGAGCATGGGATTGCTCTGAGCTGCTGCAAGAGCTTATCCTGTCCTGGCAAAGTGAGGAGCTTGCTTCTGAGCATGCCTCTAGTCCAGCTCTAGCCTGGTGCCTTGTTTGGGAGTAATTGTGACTAAAGGGTGATAATTATATTATTAAATTAAATTAGTCTTCTAGAGTGTGGGATTCCCTTAGAATGTGTTGATTCACTGACAGCGTTCCTACAGGAAGAATGCAGAGGCTCCAGGCCTACATTTGTAGGTGTTGTATGAGTGGGGGGCAGAGTTAAGATTTATATTATATATCAGATGATGATAACTACTCTTCTCAGTGCATATTCTTGGGTGGGCCTTATGGTAAAATCCCATCTGGCCAAAACAATAATTTTCTCCTTTTTATGCATGGGAATTCTGCTTTTCATCAGTGCCTCGTGCTTCTCAAGAGCTCTTTGATGTACAGAATGCAGTTTGAAGCAGTGACACACTGGCTTTGTGCTGCACCCCTGTATAACACAGCAAGGGCTCCTCTTTCTCTGGGAGCTGGTGCTCCTCAGGAAGCAGCTGCTGGTGCCTGCAGTGAGATTCCTGAGCAGTGTCCTGCAGTCACTTCTGGCCACATCTGTTCTAACCCAACACAGCTTTATGTGCAATAAAAGCTCCCTACAGCTGCATCACACATGGGTTTGCTGCAGATGTGCTCCTCAGAGGGCAGCAGAGCATTCTCAGCATCACTTCCACTGTCACCTTTGAGGACAGCACAAGGTCCTCCTTGTAGTCCTTAGCCCTGTGTTTCTTGGTACAGAGGCCTTATAACTCCTCACACATGTGTATCTTAAATAGCTCAAAGCTGATGTCAATATTAACTTCTCAGTCCAAACACCAGCACAGGAGGAGGCAAGTGCATGACAATGGGGCATTTTTTAGTAATGGCACAAGATTTAAGCTTTTGAGTGGGCTGTGTAGTGTCAAAGGGGGAAATGCAACATCTTGGCATGTTCTGAAATAGCCAACCATTGTGTCTATGGCTGAGCAGCAGTAGCTGAGATTTATTTCTAAACATACTAATTGCAGTTCCCCAGTTACCCCAGTACAGAAAGCAGATAGGATTTGTCTGACCACGATGGACTGCAGATTCAGTTCAACACAACTGTTGGAAACATTTGGAATCTCTGGCCAGAGAGGAAGGTCCTGGAAAGCAGACAAACAGGACTGGTAATCTGGTTCTCTCAGCTCATAATTCACCTAATTGGTGTGGGTATAAATCAAGTGTTGTTTTTGAAAAGATAATAACCTTTCATTTGCAAAGATTAAAAATGTGCCAATATTTTTGCGTGCATCTGTCAAAAACCCACAAGTCTGTAGCATGCTGCAGAAGGGAACATCTGTGTCTAATTGGCAAAACTCAGGGTTCATAATGGGTGATTCAAATGAACAAAACCATTTTGTCATTCATTCAGTTGGGGATTATAAACTAATCAGAAATCTTTCCCTCAGATCTATCTTGCATTTCCTGTCCCTTGTGGGCTTTTTTCCCTTGATCTCAGAGCAAGTTTTGAACCTTTTTGGTTTCACAAGCCATAATACATTAACAATTCCCCCACTGCCACAACCTTTCAGCCATATTTCTGGAACTCACAGATTGCACTTCCCCCCTGCCCAGATTTGGGGGTGCAGGGCAGCTCTTGGGGTTTTTGTTGTAGCCAGCTGGTGGCTCAGGAGGCACCTTGCATCTGAGACTCCTTGGCTGTACACAGAATGTGCAAGATATTCCTCCTCAAATGGTGACAGTTTGACAGATCTGAGTGAAAATGAAGGCAGGAAAGGGAGCTTATCCTGAGGGTGGGGGTGAGGGATTTGGGGGGATGCTCTGCCTCTGAATCCCCCAGGACCCTCTGCTCTGGTGGCCGCAGCTCTGGGGTGTTAACAAATCTCCTGGTAGTAGAGGAGGGGCTGTGAACACCTCCAAGCGCCTTCTCAGTGTCTGAAAAAAGGCAACTGGATCAGTTCACATATTCCTCAAAACAAAATCTCAACCCTCAATCACTGCTAATTTAAGGAGGTTTGAGCCAATCTGTGATCCTCCCACATCCAGGAGTGCCACCCTGTGAGAGCAGCAGCTCTGGTGCACATTCTGCCTCCTAAACTGGGCACATATTTTAGTGCAAAAGTTAGGTGGTGTTTACTGTTTCTTGCTATGCAAATACTTGTTTAAAAGTGAGCTCAGAAGATTAATGTGGAACAAAGGCAAGACTGCACCAATATGCTGGGATGAAGGGAAGGAATACAAGAGAAGTAACAGAAAATCCCTCTATTCTTCTTCCAAGTCTAGGAAGCATACTCTCCCTGAGGAAAGAGGACCATATTCACTGGAAATCAGCAAGTTTTCAGTAAAATCCAAGTGGCAACAACTGTATCTATAGTTCTGGTGTGAATTAGTAAATGGATCTAACTGTTATGACCTTTATGTCTTAAATCAACATAAAGTTTTGCTTGTTTCCTCAGGACTTTTACCATGAATTAACTAATCCAGACTGACCCCCACCATTTTGCCCCCTGGAGAAAAGATCAGTAGATTTCCATTAATATGTTTTGGTTTTACATGTGGGACTCCTAAGGCATTAGACAGAGAATAATATGTGTGTGGCAATAAATGTGGTTTCTTTTCCACTTGAGACTTCCAGCCATAATCCAGCCCAGGTGCCTTAAATGAGCAGCCTGTAGTTTATTCCATTATAATTAACATAAGCTTTGATTTAGATGACACTTTTACAAGTCAAATATTGGATTCCAAGTTGAATACAGAGCACAGTTTCCACCCACGTTACTGTTTTGGTCCTTTTCTGTGGCCATCCTGCATCCACCCTGAAATCCCCCAGAATATGAGCAGCACCTGCTGGAAAACAAAGGTTGTGCCTCGTAGAACAGGTCTGACTTTTTGTTTCTATTTAGGAGCTTTCAACATTTGGCATTGCAATTTTTTTTTCTTTCCATTTCAATATGAGCCAAGGGGAGGAACCAAAAGAAAAAAAAATCTGGAGTATTTTGATCTTTGTGGCTTTATATGGACTTCATAAGCTTCGTTTGTTCTACTGCCAGGTTCCTTTGTGTTTAAATAGATAACAGACCAAGGCGACTAATCATTTCCAATAAAAAACCACACCAAACCCAAAGCATTCCCTTTCTTTTCCAATTAATGCTTGTAAACCCATGCTCTTAGACCGGGCTTGTGACCTAAACACTTCTGGGTTTCTTTTCTTCCCCTTTTCAAAAACAATTGCCTAAGGCACAGACTGGGCTCTGTGCTCTGCAAATTTATGAAAGAATCTTGAAAAAAGGCTCTGAGAGTGGCTCTGGGAAAAGGTAATTGTCAATATGATATGCAAAAGCAGCCTCATGCACCTTTAGAAAAGCACAGAATGGTGGTTAGTGCTGCCATTTATGGACTTCCTTCCTCCTTGGAGGCTGGAGGCTATTTGTGGAGAAGGAAGAAATAGCAGATTTACATGGAACTGTCACTGTGTTATGTAAAATGCATGTTGGTTGCTGGTTTACTGGTGAGAGCTGGTATCTGCTGTTGCTATTTTGAGAGGCTTTGCACTTGAAAAAGAGACAATTTGCCCAATCAAAAGCAGCTACATTTTACTGAAGTAAATAAGGTTGAATGTCCTTGAAACAGAAGATG